ATGGTTTTCCAAATCCGGTTAGTGTAAAAGAAACACACATATTTTTGACATTGAAAAGAGGGAGAGAGCAAACGGTAGAAACATTTTTTTCTCGTGGCGCAGGGTTACTTATTGCACACACGTAATGCAGGTGGAGGCGGGTGTCCGGCTGGCCAGGACGACGAGGGGTTGACCGACTTTTCGCCTTCTGCTTCTTTTTGCCAAAGCCGCACTGCGCGTAGCAGCACTGGCGAAATGGGGCCTCGTGTGGAGTGTGCCGGGGCAAGGGGTTGCCCGGGGACGAAGGGGGGGGGGGGCGTAGTGTGGCGGGCCCTGGATAAAGAGGCAGGAGAGGCGGTGGAAGGGAGCTGTTATCCGGCTCCAGGAACGGTGGTCGCCGCGGAGACAGACTCTGGTGGCCCGGGCAGAGAATGAGGGCGTGCAAGCTGGTCTCAGCGCGGGGTAGGCAGGGGCGGGCCGGAGTAGGGAGGGCCGAGGTAAGGCGGGGTGGGGTGGGGCGGGGCGGGGCGTGCAGGTGCCCGGGGCCGCAGGCCGCTAGCCCCGTGACGTGAGGGGCATTGAGGAGTCAGGGAGCTGCGAGGTGCAGCGCCAAGGGCGAGCGGCATTAAGGAGAACAAGTGCGATAAAAGTTGGAATTGAAGTAGTATAGGGCAGCAAGGAGAGGACGAAGCGTCGCTAGCGGCGCAGCGCGGCGCAGCGGAGGAAAGACATTTCCTGCAACTGGCCCCTCCCGCCCACCACCGAGCCCGTTCAGATAAAATGCGTTTTACTTTTGGCGCGACGAGGTTCGGGCTCCCCCCAGTCCTGCCGGCACGAGTCTCACAAAGCGAACACATTTCCGCCCAGTATTTAGATGCTTGTCGTTCCGGCTTCGCATCGTCTCATTTCCCCCAGACATTCCTTCCGCCTTCCCCCAACCCCCCCCTCCTACTCGAACTTCTCTTTTATTCTCGTCTGTGAAGTCGAGCACCTAAATGAGGTTGCTTGCTTATTTGGCCGGGACGGGGCGGCCCCGCCCGCTGCAGTAGCCTTTCTTCAATCAAATGGAGAGTTTGTTCAACCCGCGCCCTTTTCCGGTACCGCCTTCGCTATATAGTGCTGCGCGTTTGTTTCCGCGAGTATATTTTGCCGGTCTCCTACCACGCCATTTGCCCCATCCGAGCATTCCGCATCCGCGGAGACGCACCTGCACGCCACCCCCTCACACCTGACCTCCCATCTGCATCCCCTCCACCCCC